GTGGCAAAGTATGTTTTCACGTTTTGCTCATTTTTCTGTTGGATTGACTGCTTTTTTTTTTCCTGATTGATTGGTGAGAATTTCTTTCTCCCTCTGGATATGACTTTTTGTCTGACCTGCCATGTTACTGACTCAGGGAGAATCACAGACCTTCAGTTTATTATTCTGTAAAACTGGATGAAAAATGTTTGGTGTAAAAACTGAATTGGATAAAATAATTCATCCTTCCTAGAAATGCACAAATGTGAATTTGTATCATCCAGTGGCATTCTCTGCAAACAAGGACTTAGGCGTGGTTAGATCTAATTGTTATGTGTTTATTTTTCTCAGCATCTACCCAAAAGAAAAATATGGTGATGAGAACTCTGTAAAATAATATTGAATAATGGCCCCCATAACTTCCAAAAGAGTAATTGCTGTAGGAATTCAGGACAGCACATCATGCAAGATCAGAAGAGTTGTATGTTAAGTCTGATACACAATTATTCTGAGACTTTGGAAACTGCTCACATAAATCAAATCATGCCCTTCATCAGTGTGCTCAGGTTGATAAGAACGGGGGAATCCAAGCCAGTGACCTTGGGGTGCTCTGCTGTGCTGACCGTCTGTGAGTCGATGCTGGGTTTTGGTCCTGTCTCCTCCTGAGTCTCAGAGGCAGGAGGAATGCAAGTCCTTCGGGAGAGCGCTGTGGCCTCGCAGTTGTCACATGGTAGTAGCTAGTAGCTCTGAGTGACATTTCATAGATCAGATGGTGCTGCCTCTCATCTGCCCAGCTTGAGGAGACCTCGGTCCTATTTCCCAGGACAGAACATGAAAATCCACAGATACGGAAGCCTGCTGACTGGGGAGCTGAGGTCAGAGCCCAGGGGAATGTGCTCTTCCTGCCATTTTGCTGTATGGGGACAGAACAGTGCTAGCCAGGTGGTGGCCTGAGGATCTGTAATCACTGAAAGTCACTTTTCAGAGTGCTATGCATTCATGTTTATGTCCCCCAAACTGATGCTAAAATTTTATCCCCAAGGAGGTGGAGTCCTTGGGGGGAGTGGTAAGAGAGCGATTAGATCACGAGGCTGTCACCCTCGTGACACTCCTGCATCTGCTGCCCTTTGAGGGGCCTGTGACCTTCTGCCATGACACCAGAATCCCACTGCACTGGCTCCTGGATCTCAGGCCATGAGAAATGAGTTCCTGTGCTTTACAAACTTCTCAGTTTATGGTGTTTTCTTACAATGGCTTGCACAAATGAGGGCACAGCACCCATGCTTGCTAAGCAGCATCCCCAGGGTGATCATGAAATGCTGTTTCTCAGGGGGCTCCCCCAGGTATTTTGAGCCAAGGTTTAGCAGTTTCATCCTCCTCTCCTGCAAGAATCCTGGAGTCTGACTAGGGTGGTGTCTGGCTTGTGATAGAAGTGAGGGGGAAGTCACTTCTTCCTCAGGGTGTTCAGCACTCTCCACAGGAGGCTGGTGACTTTGGGGTCCGTGGACAGTATTGTAGTGCATGAGAAGGATGCTGGGTTTAATCCCTAAACAGGTCTGGGCCCTGGGATTGGAGCAGCGTGGGCACCGCCTTGTCCTAAATGTCCTGCTGCTGGAAGCAAGAGAGAAATGCAATATGCAGACTACAGGTCACCTGCCAGGCTCAGGGCCCTGCTGCCTGGCTTCCCTTCCAGCATGGAACCATGTAAACCTCAGCATGGAAGGAAAGGCAAGGCTGAAGTTCACTGTGCAGAAGCAGTCAGAGACAGGGCACTGAGCTCAGGCATAATGGGCTGGGGCTGCACGTGAGAGGGGTCCTGTAGGATGGCAGTGGCCTGAGAAGAGGCAAGCAGAGAGAGGTGGTAGGTCTATGTTTGGAGCTGCCCAGGGATAGGGAGGAGAGGGGAGTGTGCCTGTAAGCAGGTCATGTCCTGCTCAGGAGGAGGTCGCCCCAGGCTCATTATTGCCAGGTTCCCCAGAGACCTCTTTGAATAGTGAAGTTGGCCTAGAGCCCCACTTGGAGGAGACTGAGGCCTCCAATCATGGCCCCTTGACTGAAGTGTGGAGTCAGGGTCACCTGGGCGGAGCCTTGGTGATCACAGCTTTTTGGGAGTCCAGGGACGGAGACTCAGGGCTGGGTATATGAGGCAGAGGTTAGGGGATCCACAGATCATACTGTTAGACAGTCAGAGCTGATAAAAGCAAAGGCTTATGGGGGTGCCACAGGAAGACTCCTGTCTTGTCACTGTGGGTAAGGTCCACCAGCCTCTCTGATCGACCCTGTTTGTTCCGTCCGTGAGCCGGCCCTCATTACTGTATTGTATAACCCAACTCCCTCCTGCTCTGTTTTGTGTTCCAGGAGCTCCAGAACCACATTCCGTCCCCGCCATAGCTATCAGGCCAGTAGGGTGCATGGGACAGGAAGTGCTCTGTACACATTTGTTGAATGAGCTAAGGAGTGAATGAATGAATGAATGGAAGAAAATAAAATTGGGTATAGAAGAAGCTTGTGCACTGCAATGGGAGCTTCTAACTTGGTCCTTTGTGCCACCATGCAGTTGGAAAATGGTGAGCTGATCATATCTGTGGTCAGAAAACCATGTGTGGAAAGGGGCAGGAGATAGGTGTGTGTGTGTGTGTGTGTGTGTGTGTGTTCCTGTGCAAGTGTGGAACAGCATGTTGCCTGCTGTGTGTCGAGGTAGGGGTTTGAGAGACCTCGTCCCTGGGCTCTGTGCGTCGCGGGCTGGGGTGGGGAGGGCAGAGACTACCGGCTGGCAGCACCTCCTGCCTGGGTTCCCTCGGGCATCTCTGAGGGCTGCCTCTGGGGTGTGGCAGCACTGACAGCTGGTGGCTGGCTGTTGCTCATTGTTGATTACAGTTCCAAACCCGTGCCTTGGTCCCAGGCTGCCACGCAGCACAGGAATCCAGTGGCACTCTAATGAGGTTTCCTTTCGAAAGCTGGAAAGAAGAAAGCCTTTTAATTAGATTGGTAGTAATTGAGTTCCCAAACCACAGAAGCCTTTCTCTCAGGAGGGAAAGAGACAAATGCAATTAAAAGAAGAAAAGACACCTAGATGGAACCCTCACGAATTCTAAGTCCATTAATTATAACAGCTCCCTAGTAAGTTGAGCCAACAGGTAGAGGTCCTGAAGAGTTCAGCTGCAGTGCCCAGTGATAGTGACACTGAACAGAGACGTGGACACATGTGCACGTTAGCTGTGGGCCCCTGTCTGGGGTAGCTGTTCAACGCGATGTGCAGAGAATTGTGAATACGACAGCTTTTTACCACGAAGACATCTGATGTGTTTTGTTTTGGAAAGGGAGAAACAGTTCTTCCTGTAATCAGCTGGCAGCTTATTCTGAACACTGCCCCCGGTCTGGGCCCTCCTAGGGCAGTCCTTTTTCTTTTTCCAGACTTTCTCAATCCACCCATCTCAGTCTCAGAAATACTCAGCAGGTGACCAGCTGGGCAGTGGCGCTGAACAGAAGGCGCCTTGCAGCCTTGCACATCGCATTTCGGGTGGGGGTGGCGTTCAGTTCTCATTTACATCCCTGCCCGCTGGCCACGCCTTAGCGGGTGCCATGGACTTCTCACTATTGGATGTTTTTGGTGGCTGCCCTTCAGGGAACCAGGCCAACTGTACAGCAACTCAGGGTCTCAGCTTGTGGACAGGTCTTCCTGGGGTCAGTAAGAAATACTTTCCCTGAGAAGGTGTCAGTTGCCAATGTAAGGAGTCTAGGTTGGACCTGAGGGGTCAGTGGTTTGATAACAGCTTGCTGGTAAACCCTGCTCAGTCGTCTCCTTGCAGATTCTCTTCTCGTAGGCCTTCTGGGTTTGGTCAGCTGTGGTAAAGTGCCCGTTGCAGTCCAGGCAGACAGGCCACGTTTGCCTCACCTGTTCTTTAATGGTCTGCTAATTTTCAGTGACTGTACTCAATATCTGAGATGAGGTGACAGGGAGAACATGCTGATTTTAGCTCCCAGCTGGGAGTTTCTTTGGTCTGTGGTGAGACCACACATTATGACAGGAGCCCTGGTAAGGAAGATTTTTTAGCTCATGAACAGGAAGCAAAATAATAGGATGAGAAACGGCAGAGGTTCCCAAATCTACTTCAAGGTCATCCCAGGGATCTAAAGGCCTCACATTAGGCTCCACTTTGTGAAGGTTCCACCACTTTCCAGCGGTGCCAAGCTGGGGCCTCGCCTCTGATACAGGCGTCTTCCAGGGACACTGAAGTTCCAGATTGTTGCGGATGCCCTGTGTGAGAACAGAGCCACCAAGGTTGATGCCCTGTCCCACGCTCCTGGGTGATGTAGACCTGACACCAGCCCAGCCCCACACTCAGGTGTTTTGTAAATGTGGAGGAATGAGTTCTGGGGTCTGAACGAGCCACGTGTGAATGGCTGCTTTGTAAAGTCACCTCGCCGCTGTTACCCTGCCCCCCAGACAGGATTTTCCCTGTGGGCATGGTGCCTGGTGAAGACAGGCTGAGAGAAGAGAAGCCCAGACCCAGGGGCGCAAAGCAAGAACAGCCTCCTGGGGGCCGCTCCGCGGGTGCAGTGAGGCGGCTCGGCACAGGGCCTGGCTTCCTTTCCTGGTGGAGGGAACCATGTAATATTTATGTGTATTTAAAAGTGTGTAAATTTTAGTAGTAAACTTGACTTTAAAAAATTGGAATTTGCACGACATTTTTAAAGTATATAAATTACAAAATAAAGGATAAATAGCTAAGTCCTTAGCAAGCACCATTTCTGGATGGTAGGACTGCCTGATTTTAATTTTCTTCTTTATGCTTTGTCGTCCTTTGTAAGTGCTGTATAATAAATGTGTATTACTTTGGAATAAATAGAAAAGCTTAGCTCTGGGAAAATGCTGCTGGCTTACATTTGCAGATGCTTGGTGCATTCTAATTTCCACACACAACAGTGATCCCCAGTCAGATCCCTTCATGGACAATTGTATCACTCCTTTTGTAAATCATATGAGCCATATTTATGCTGCTTTTTCTTTTTTATTAAAGGACGAGAAGAACCAAGTTCTGACCACCAACATCTGGCTGCAAATGGTGAGTTAAAGCAGTGCAACTTCTGCCTGCAGGTCTGCCTGCTCTTGCTTCTGAGGTGCATGTGCTCCATTTGTAGGGAAAGCAGAGTCCCCGTGGCAGAAGCCAGGCTGTCACCCCTGCCCCATACATGCCCGCAGTGGATGCTGGAGGGAGCGTGCTGTGCACTCAGTTGCTAATTTGCAGAGTCTGATAGGTTGCTATTGAATATCCAGGACTGAATGACAGCAGGACTGGGGTAGTACTGAGTTATTGTGGGAGACAGTGGCAGTTCAAAGCCACTTCACCCATGAAATAAGTTACCTGACCACTTTTAGGTGGCTGCAGGCTGCACTGTCACTGTTGCCCAGCACGGCAGCACCAGCCCTGCCCAGTGTGCGAGGCACTGCCCGCTGCACCCCCGAGAACTGCATGTTTGCGTCACACCAAGTGCTCCTCTGCCAAGAGTCTGTCCACTCCACATTAGCGATGCTGCCAGAATCTTGAAAGGTTTCATAGGTTGAGTGTCCGTAATCCAGAAATCCATGGTCTGAAAGGCTTTGAACTCCCAGACTTTTTGATTGCTTACTTGAAACTCAAAAACTTCAGATTTTTGGATTTTCAGATGTTTGAATTAGGGGTGCCCAATCAGACTCTACACCAATCTTGCACATTCTGAAAAGTCCTACAAAATCTGAAGCACTTCCTCTGGTCCCAAGCATTTTGGTTATGTGATAGTCAACTTGTATTCTCTTCCTGGATTGTTAACTTGACTGTAACCTAAATTTAATTCATTGCAGGTGATGTCACTTCCATCAAATTGTAAATGTTGGGATTTAATTATAAAACTGTTGATCTCTTTTACGTAGACCTGAAATACCACAGCGATTCTATGCCTGTATCATTCATTGAAAAACCATATGAACATATCCTGCTGTAGCTGTCAGCTAGTTTACATAGTTCTTTTCTTCTCTTTTACTGCATTTTATTCTACTTTTCAGGTAGGATTTTATCCTAATAAAAATGATTAATACATTCAAAATAATATAAAATAATTTCATATTCAGTAGTCTTTTATTAAACACACCACCTTGGTTTACTCAAGTGTAAATGTTGACAGACATTTTGCCTTCAAACCATAAAGATTTTTCTGCATTGATTTAAGATTGATGCATAATTCAGCAAGGTGACACAGACTGCAGATTTTAACATGCAATTATTAAACAGTTTTTAAATTGGAAATTCATGTCTGTGTCAAAGATGGGGCCTTGTTTTGAATTAATCCATGTGTCTACAGATGACTGTTTTTTACTTCTAGAACAATATAGTTGTCATCATCTATTGTGTAATGCTTTTATTAAGAGATTCATGAGCATCATATTGGCAATGAAAGAACTTTGTTAATTTTATTCAGTCCTTTGAACTTCTTCCAGATCGTATGACAGCAGCGTGGTTTTCATCAAATACCTCAGCTGACAACTCACTAGTTTCAGTTTTACTTTTTTGAAAGCAAAAATTGAAAAAAATCAGAACCCATCTGACTTTTGAAAGTATGTCACCTCACTTTTAATGTGCTCCCCACTAAGCTGGATGCACCTTCTGTTTGGTTCTGGTCAGGGTCCAAAGGTGAGGAAATGTGCCCTTCTTAGGGGAGGGGAGGGGGGGGAGGGGAGGGGAGGGGAGGGGAGGGGAGGGGAGGGGGCACAGAGGCTCCCGGCTGCCTTGGGCAGGCGGCTGTTCCTGGGAATACATGCGCAGGTGAGCGATGGAACAGATCAGATCCACTTCGAGCCCTCCGCCCAGTGTCCCAGGGGTTCGCTTAGCCCTACCTTAATGGATGAGGAGGGGCCTGTGGGATTTCTCCTGCAGGATATAAAGCTCCGTGCTTTCTTGACACCTGACAGCTCTTCTCATGTGCCCGCTTCTGCAGGCTCCTCTCCCCAGCCCTGGGCGGGGTCTCGTGCTGCTCTGGAGGCCAGCCCTTCCCCAGGGGCTGCGTGGGCAGATCTGTCTTGGAGCCTGCCGGGGCTCCACAGCCACTCCCCTGCCTCTGGCATTGTCCTGGCATCTGTGGGTCATGCTCTTGCTGGCTTCTTCCAGTCCGTTTCAGCTGTGTAAATTGCAGGCCCATTTTGCTCACACCGGAGACCTCAGTGTCACTCTGAACACGTCTTTCACACTACATCTGATCCATGAGCAAATCCTGGTGTCCTGGTCATCAGAATCGATCCAGGGCAAGCACGTGAACCCATCGCTTCTGCCCCGGCCTACGTTGGCATCAGGTCTAACATTTCAGAGTGTGCTGCCAGTTCTCCTGCCAAACCCTGGCCTCCCCTGATGGGGTCTGGTGCAGGATAGCAGCCAGCGTGATCCTTTAAGTTCAGTGAAGTTTCTGTCACAGGCACCCAGGCTCAGACCCTGTAGGCCCCTGTGTCCCTGGGAAACGGGAACTTCGAAGTCACCTTCACTTCCCTCCTTGCCTGGAACTTTTCTCTCCATCCTTGCCGCCCTCTTCCCTGCTGAACTCCCTGTCCTCTTGATGTTACGGATGCACATGTAACCCGAGCATATTCCTACCTCAGGCCCTTTGCATTTGCTGCTGCTCCTGTCTGGAAAATTATTTTCCAGGAACTACTTAATTTTTACTTCTTACTAGTCACTTCTAAACAGCATCTTTTTGGTTGCTTCCTCCCTGAGCTCCTGTGTACTGTCCCAAACCATCTCTGCTATCTCCAGGCTAGTGCCCTACCCTGCATTCATCTGTATCCACCCCCCTGATGAAGTGCCAGGGAGTGTTCCTATCTCTGAGCTCCGTCTTCAGCGGCCACTCCTGTTTGCTTTGCTTTGCTTCCCTTGTCCTCTGGAGTCCTTGTAACCATCGGACCTTGCACACTCGCAGGCTTGCAGGCTTCTTGCCCGTGTGTCTCCGCCCCGCTGGCACAGGTGCACCAGAGGGCAGCACTCTGTGGGATTAGTCCGCTGCCTTTCTCCGGCCCCTAGCCCACCGCTTCATTTCCAGCAGGTGATGAATAACTTTTCTTCAATGAGCAAATGAAAACAGAATGTCCCACGAATCCCAGAGAATCTCAGATGTGACACAAGATGAAGCCAGCTCTCCGGAACCTTGGAGGCTTTAGTAGAACCCTGGGAACCCTACAGGAAGACAGATATTTTACCCATGCCCCTTAAGGAAGGAGCTGCTGTTGACATTTTTCTAAGAGAGACATCCATGTGCCACGGTCAGGTGTCTCTCCTGGTGCCCACCTCTGCAGCTATTGGTCAATGGTACGGGCTTCCAGGTGAAACAAAACCGAGTAATAACCTATTGTGGGGGCTCCCCTTGCTGCACAAATAAACCCCTTTGCTTTGGAGATTGTCATCAGAGACCTCTAAAGTTCTTTGACCTAAACTTGATTTCTGTGACTTACATTGGTAGAAGCACCTGCAACCTCATTTTTTAAAAAGTGCTCCTTTACTATTGAGTTCCCTTTTGGGGGTGCCTGCTGTATGGAGGGCAAGAAACAAGGCCATGTGAGGCCACCCAGAAATGGGGGAGACCCATTTTCCACCTTTCAACCATTTCAATTCAGGCTATATAATTAATACATTTAAAGAAATGTTGCCTACTAAAAGACGATGGATGTTTGAGGAGATGGGAATGCTGATTACCATAATTTGATCACCACGTATTGTGTACGCGTATTAAACTGTCCACACTGTACTCCATAAATGTATTTAATGATATGCCAGTGAAACTTTTTAGTCACACACAAAAAAGTAAAAAATAAAAGGTTGATGAAGCAAGACCAGCTGGTTCCTGAGAGACACGGGGAGATAGGCTGCTGGTTGGACTCGGGGACAACCCTGCTTTGCAGAAATCAGAGGCAAGGAAAGGCCTCGACTCTTCTAAATGGTCCAGTCTGGGAACGGTGGCATTGCTGTGTGTCCCGTCATTGTTCATGCTCATTTGCACAGGCTTTCATGGAGCTGGGTAGTAACACTGACCTGGAAAGTGATTCTGGAGCTGACGCTGTCTTGCAATGGAACTTTTAAGGCATCCCAAGAATCTTGGGTTTATAACAAAGCTTAACAGTCAGGAAGTCCATCCCTGGACCTCATTGCTCCCTAGCGCAGCCTGGTGTTTCAGGCTGGAGGACCTGTTGCCCTGACCTGGCCACTGCAGAGTGGAGTGTCTCCCAGAGCAGGCTTGGCTGCTTCCTTGGGATCATTTCTGGACGACCATCTATTGATTCTTGTTCTTGTGTTCCCTGACTGGCGCCCTGTCTGGCTTAACCCAGCCTGGGAGTTAGCCACATACAAGCAGTGACACCCAGTACTGAAGGCACACAGGGCCAGAAACCCCAGGGACAGCGGGGCGAGTGTGCAGGGGGTCTGCAGAGGGTCCAGCAATGGTTCTCAGCCACGAATATCTCTCTGTCTCTCTCACTGTTGCATGTTGCTGAATTCCTGTTCTGAAAAATGAGAATCCACATCATCTTTTCTCCAGGGTATTTAAATGCAGTTTGATCTTCTGCAAATGGTATATTTTTTTATATCTAATAAAGTTGGAAGAGGCAGAAAAGTTAAAGAGAAAATGAAATCAAATTCCCTTTGACCTGCGGTTTGTTGATTGTGTTATCTGTCTCCCGTTGTCCTTCATTTTGTGTGACTTCCAGATCATCCTGATAACCTGCGGGAAGGCAAAGCTGAGGATCTCTCAATTTACCGTGCCTGGTCCTGGAGGAAGCAGTGGATGTGTTTTCTCTGTGGATGTCTTATCATTTTGGGAGGCCTGTCAGGCATAATCTGATTTAATGTATGAGAAGAAAGACAGAAACCGTTGCCATTTTCAAAAAGATATCTGAGCCATTCAGAGACCCGCGTTCACTTTTTGAAAATGTGTCTTTCCTTATTTTGGAATCTTGATCACTTTTCTGCCTTTAGATTTTCCCTTTGTTCTGTTTTTAAGCTCTTAATTCTGACTGTAGTATTCTAACAGCATTCACTTCCAGAAAGGCTGGAGCGCAGACCGTTCTTATTTCTAAAATGCTCACCTTTTCAGTTTCTGTGTTGCTTCCCCCGACACTGCTTCCCACCAGCTCACAGATGCGCCAGCCTGCTACACTGTGCGATCACATCCTAAGGTTAGGGGTGACCCGTCACTGGGTCCACCATCAGAAAAGTTTCAGAGTTTCAGGGACAAGAGGTGGAAGCAGGCTCCTGTTCCTTCTCTAAGATCAAAGTAACTGGGTGGAGAACTATTTTTAAATTTTTTTTTAATTTTAAAAACCAAAAAAAGGAACCAAAATGAGACAGAATTTTTTAAAAAAGGAAGTTAGCTCTAGTTGATATTATTGCATATTGTTGTCTTAAAATTTGAAATTCAGGTTTGGCTGGTGTTTTCCAACACCCACCAACCAGTTCTGTAACTGGCTTCTGACATTACTGACTTTAAATTAGCATCTGCACTCCCAGGTCAAAGACCCAGTCCCATAAGACCCCCCCCCACTACAGACAGCACTGTAAATGGGGTGTCCACTACTCCCATACTTCCAAGTAGCTGACTGTAATTCCCGAGGTTCTTACAACCTAACCCCAACCTCCCCTTCCCTGGGGGTTCATAATCTTCTGGGACAGCACATGTTCTCAAGCAAACACTTTACCTATGTTTACTGGTTTAGTCCAAAGGATGAAACTGGAGCTGCCGGATGGAACAGAGACAGGCCAGGGTGAAGAGAGGGGGCTGAGCAATGTGGCTGTCTCTGGGGTGCAGCACCTTGCTGTTAAAGAGACTTTACAGCCAGCTGATCTCCAGTCCAGTCCTCCACCCTCCACCCTGAGATGGGGAGGAGATGCGGTTGAAGCCTCCCACCCCTAGTCCTCACATCCCTGGCTCTCGGGTGCCCAGCCCCAATTTTGATCCACTTCACGGCTCAGCCCTGGGTGCCATGAGCTCAGGTGTGGTGGAAAGGAAAGGCCTTCTTTCACAAAAGATGCTTTTAGGAGCTCTGTGCTAGGAAAACCAAATGCATTTCTTATACTATAATGTGTTTTCTTAAAAGAAAACTCTCCCTCTTTCTGTCTCACTACATACCCAGTTGAAGAAGAGTTTCAGTGAGGGAGGCGCGAGAATCCAGACTGCGCACTTTAGGTCGGCAGCTGTCCCCGCCCCGTGTCCCCTGACAGCCCGGTGTGCTCTCCTTTTGAACACTTGATGAGAAGGAAGCCCACAGTGGGGGAGCATGAGAAACCAGATTGTTCTGCATGGGGAGCATGGAGCTTTGGCATCTTGGGGATCCCTGATGCTGCTTTTCAGCACCAGCATATGGAGACCATGTCAGGTGCTGTTCACAAAGTTTTGGGCTTCTGACCCCAAACAACCCAAGGTCTGAGTAGAAACAAATACCATAAGAAAACTGCTTTTTCCTGGAACCTGATTCCAAGTGCCTCTGTAGGAAACTGAGGGCTGGCAGCACAGGATCATGCCCAGGTCCTCAACTCCATGCTGCTCCACCTTTGGCAGCAGCTCTTGTGTATCGTGGGATTTTGCACAGTGGGAGAATCTGCTTTCTCGAAAAGCCGTCACTTCCCGCTTACCTGTGAGGGGTGCGTGGTTTTCACCTGAGGCTTCACACACGCTCTCATTTCACTCTTAAGGGCCTTCCTGTGAGTCTGAACACACCGGAAGAAACTAGTCCGGGGAGGGCGATGAGCAAAGCAAGCCTTGCTGTGAGCCTTGGTGCGAGCTCAAGTCTGGTTCCAAAGCTCCCTGCAGCTGGTCCTCTGCCCTGTGGGTCAGCATGGCCTTGGACACAGGGAGGCCAGCGTGAGCAGATGGGCAGCGCTGTCAGGGACGGTGTGCATGCTGTGCTGTCATGTCACAGATGTACCAATGCAGACTGCCTTGAAGAGCTAACTCTGGGGCAGCCCAAAGATTGCTTTTCATGAGATCAGCCAGGCGGTGCAGTCAAGTCCTGAGCCAGTGATTGACTGAGCCTTGGTCTCCATTTGTAAACAGGTACAGTCAGCACCTGACACCTTCGGATGGTGGTGAGCAGGGGCGCACCCCATACTGATCTGGGGAAATGGCAGGGATGCTGCCCTGTCAGCTGTGGCTGCAGGGTGCACTCCACTGAGTGTGTGCACAGACAGGAGGCTGCTGGCAGTGTCTTCAGATAAGTCTGAGCTTTACCAGCCAGGTGTTCCATTCCTGCGCACTCTCTTCTGGCTGTCACTGTAGCAGACGGAGGAGACAGGTGCTTGCCTCTATCTAGAGCCCACCCACCTTCACGGGCCCACCCTGGGCTCTGATGGGTGTAACAGTGAGCACTGTGACTAACCAGTCACATCTGTGGCCATTCCAGAGAGGCCCTTAGCTTGAGATACAGGGCGTGTAGGGCAGGCGCAGGAGTTGGCATGGAAGAGTTTCGTGCTCAGAGCAAGGGAACAACAGAGCAGCAAATGCTGGCTGGCACTGGATGCTTCCAGAAGACAGGAACTTGAAGACGACCAGCCCTTGTCAGTCTTCCCCTACATCAACCCCCAACCTATTAGAGACCCCAAAGGGCGGGTCTCAGATGCCATAGGTGATGCTTCAGAATGACCTCCATTAGCCTATCAAATTCTCTGAGGTTCCTTGCAGTAAAAGGACGTCACACCTGGAAACTCCCTGTCCTTTTACGTCAGTGGTTCCAGAGCTCAGATACCTTTTTCAGAGGAGGATGGGGAATGGAACTTTTGCGATGAGCTATGTCCTCGGCCTTTTAAAAATGTTTATCTTGAGACAAGATCTCATTCTGTTCCTCTGTTACCAAAGTTGGGCTCAAACTTGACATCCTCCTAGCTCAGCCACCCAGAGTTCTGGGATTGCAGGCGTGTGCTACCATGCCCGGCTCTCAGATAACCTCTGGATGCTGTCTACCCTCCCCAGAGTGTGGAAGGCTCTCTGGGGCATGATCTTGGACCTCTTCCTTGTTTGCAGAATCAGAAGAAGCTCTTGACCCACAGCACCTCATACTCAGTTCCTGAATCTCAGCAACTCTAAAAGTTTGTTCCCTTGCTGTTTTTTAACACTGCCTCGAATTCATTTGGTGTGAGATCATCAAATTGAAATTGATGCGCAATTGAAACATTTGTCTCTGAGTGTAAATATGTATGTGAATTTTGATGCAGAAATAGCAGTGTGTGTGTTACGAGGGAGCCCCCTGATCCCAGCTGGCGGGGCTGCAGCATGGATCTTTCTACAGCTTGAAGCCTCAGCTCTAGAACATGGGAAGGGTCAGCAGTGGGAATAGATGCAAAATGGGGTCTCAGTGTGGTGTATGCGTCAGGGCTGCTGGGCCCAGAGCACCCAGCCTGACTGTGTCCTGCTGCTGAGGCCCCATGTGGGTGTTGGTGGGTTGTGGTTCAGCAGCGCCATCCTTGCAATGAAATCAGATTCACATTTTAAAATCTGCCCTCAGAAGATTCTGAGCTCTTTCCACAAGGCTGCACAGTGCTATTTCGCGGGAATAAATGGTCTGCATTTCCACAGCCTGGCTTTTATTCGAGTTGAAATAAGTGAATTTATTTTTTCAAAATGTCCTTACAGTGAAAACTTGGAACACAGAATCGTTATTCATTTGGCTGGAAGGAGCCCATCCACCGCAGGAGGAGAGGCCTGGAGCGGGCGCTGGGTCGAAATTAGCTTTAATTCTGCCATCTGAGTGTGGTCATGGCGACAGCAGGACCTCAAATGTGATTTTTATGCTGTTCATAGTCATTTCAGAAGAGATTATTTAATTCCCAATTTACTTATATTTTATAAATAACAACTCAGTTATGTAAATATATGTCTGGGACTCTTTTTGGCTTTCATCTTACCTAATAATCTCTTACAAGAAATATAAGTAGGTCAGGAAGCAAAGTGCTACTAATACTATTGTCTGTGTTGTCAGTCTTGGACAGATCACTATCTGCAATGGAATATGTCAGAATATCCAGGCGTGAAGACTCTTCGCTTCCCGGATGGCCAGATTTGGAAGCCAGACATTCTTCTCTATAACAGGTATGCCCATTGATTGGACAGAAGGAGAATGAGCCTATGCTTGCATGTATGTTCAATGAAGCACATTTGAATACATTACAGAAATACTAAGTACATCATCTCTATTACTCCCATTGAGGCTTTGCAAGGCAGTTCTGTCTCCCTCTTCTGGGATGCTCTGTGTTTGTGTTCAGGCTCAGATTGTCCCCCCCCCCAGTGCCCAGGATGATCCTATCCATAGTGTCATGAGTATGTAGCATGGCTTCTCTGCATATCAGAGCACGAAGTGTCCTCGTAGGGGCACCGCCTTTGCTGTCTGAAGAGCAGCAGTGTATAATCTAATATAGAAGGTGCAGGCCCATGGGATGCACAGCTGGAGCGTACAGTTCAGACCGCATTTGATTTGTTTCTCATTGCAAAAGTGACTGAGTTCATGAGGCCTGTCCTCTCCAGCTGCTCAGGGAGGTGTGCTGCACAAGTCATATATATGACATAAGAAAAATAAACAATAGTTATGTTATAATAGTCCTGCTTATGAGGGCAGGAAATACGGGCTTCATCAGTAAACTAAAGCCACTGCCCAGAGGGAAAGGATCTAAGGTGGGTACATTTCTAAAAACCATTAAATTTTTTTGTGAAATCATGTCATCAAATACAGAACCTAGAGCATCATTTCTCTGTTAAACTGTGATGACCAGATTCATATAAAAGAAAGTTACTTCTTAACAGTTGCCCTGTCTGGAGGGAGAAGGCTTTTCTGACTCAAAATACACTGTGACTGTCACTTGATATACTTGATGGTCACTCAGTGATCCCTGTCAGCCAGCAGATGCTTCTGTGTCCTATGCTGGCTCCTTCCAGAAGAATGACAAACTCCATTTCTTTTGTCAACTTTTAATTCTTTTTGTCTTCGTCGCTGTGATCACATTTGCCTTGAATAACTGGGCTGGTTTCTAGGAGACGAGCCACTTGGTAGTCATTGCCATTATTTGCGTCATAAATAAAGCTCAGAAAACTGAGCTTTGCAAACCATCCAAGGCCACTGTAAGTGGTTCCTCATTGAGTGTATAAAACACATGAGCTTCTGTGATTGGTTTTGGGTCATCTGTTTCCTGGGGATGGGGAGGGACTGTGTTAGTTTGCAATGACTGCTCTAATGAAGTTCTGCAGAGTGGTGGCTTAAAAAAATAGACGTTTGCGTGTTTATAATCCTGGAGGCCAGAAGTCTGAGATCTACTTGTGGGCGGAGTTGGTTACTTCTGATCTCCCGTCCTTGGTTTGAAAGTGTTTGCTTTCTCCTGTGTCTTCCTCTGGTCCCTACTCTGTGTGTCTGAGTCCTTTTCCTGTTATAAGGACACTGGTCAGATTGGGTTAGTGACCACCCTAATGACCTTGTTTTACTTTATCCCTTTAAAGGCCCTGTCTTCAAATATAGGTACATTCTGAAGCACTGGGGCTTAATGTTTCAACATAGAGATTTTAGGGAAAAAACATTTCAGACTATAACAGGAGCCTTACAGTTGAAAATGCACAAGCATAGGGTTAGGGCTGACAAGTCTAGGTCCAAATTTTAGCTATATTGTAATATTTACTGTCTTTATAACCTTTAAGTCTCTGATTTGCAGAAGGGAAACATGACAACTTTCTAACAATTGGGAAGGAAATCTCTGCAGATGTGTGTAGCGTGTCTAATGTACTTGGCAAAAGATAATTATTTAGTAATGGCACTCGTCTTCCCAGGCATGAGGACAAGGGTTGCTGCATAGGTTAAAATGATAATTTAATAATGCTAAAAGAAACAACGTGTGTCATCATTCCTAATTCAGCTTTCTTCATCTGAAGTCTAGAATAAATTTTATAATACGGTAGAATTTCAGAAATGAGGCTCTGAGAAGTAAGTTTATGGTTATATGTTAAGACTGTTAATTCTAAAACATAAAATGCTTGATGATTCCAATATTCTGGCTAATGAAGAGTTACTAAGTATTTTGTATAATTAAATTTCAAGGAGCAAACACACAGCAGTCTCTAGCTGACATATGACACTGGGCACTGATGAACCACACCCACCTTAGCCCAACTGAGGTCCCCAGCTCTGCTCCTGTGATTCCCCACAGGTGCTGCCCTGCCACATGGCCATGTACTTCCATCTCCCCAAATGCCTGTTGACCATCACGCCCACCAGACTCCCTCTTGGAGCCTGTGGTGCCTGCCGTGGCATCTGCTTCAATCTTTCTAAACAGTGAGATAGAGGAATTCTCTTCTAAAGTAACTGCTGAATGTACAGCTTGCAAACCCACATGAACACAATGTGGAATTAACAGGTAACAGAGAATATCTAAACCAATCACAGAGATCAGACCTGTGCAGACATAGACACAGAATTTGTATCAGGGTTCACTGGGAAACATGTAATATAAAGATTAATGATAATTAATGATTATCCTACTTTTCTCATTGCTGAGACGAAATGCCGGACACCCAGAGTTCAAGGATGAAAGGTTTATTTAGCTTACAGTTTGTAGAGGTTTCAGTCCATAATCGCTGGCTACACGGCAGGATCGCGTGGCAGATAGGCGTCACAGAAGAGAAATAGTTTATGGTGGGCAGAAGACAGCAAAGCAAGCAAGCCACTAAAGCAGTTTCTTTCTTTCCCTTTTATATTCTATTTAGGCTGCCTCCTTTCTGTTCTTAGGGCAGTTAGTGCTCATACCCAGAACTATGCCAAAGCAATCAGTGGACTGATTTACTGATCATATATCCTTGGTCCCAGCCTGTCACATTCTAGATACAAACACCTCTGAAACAGCCCCACTTATGACTGCATGAGGCTTTGGAGGAACATCTAGATACAAGCCATAACAACAAGATAGGCTAACAATAGCCACTTGCAAAGTCCGGGGTGGAAGAATGCAGGAGAGCCACCTGCACACTGGAGACCAGGAGGATCCTGTCAGAAGTCACAGCCCTGGAGCTCACTGCAGAGTCCTGTTCGGGTCCATATCTGAAAACCGAAGGGTCTGAGCTTGGAAGGCTGCAATCTCTGATGGCAAAGATTGGAGCTCCTCTGAAGAAGCAGACATGAGATTCCCTTCTTTCCCTTGTTTCTCCATACAGGCTACAGTGTTACTGGTTGGTGCCACCACACCCAGGGTGGATCTTACCTCTTCAGTAAGTCCACCATCCAGGTATACCCAGGACTGTGCTAAACCAGTCATGCATTTTTGTCAAGGTGACATCACAAATAGCATCTAATATCAGTTGTCTGTTACAAACTAGCCCACAATTAGTGACTTAAAAAACAACCAACTCCTATTACTCCTCACAATGCTGAATGACTGGCCCACGTGGCCGGCTGTCTGTTCCTTGTGATGCTGTAGACAGCAGTCAGCTGGGGCTGGAATGCCCAGGGATGCCCTCACCCTGCAGGGCTGGCCTGGCTGGCAGGGGTGCTGCCTGGACGAGGGGCTTAGCAGGGCTGAGAGCTGAGTCACCTGGGTTTTCTTCCTCTGTATGTGTGTAGCTTTGCAAGGTCTAGATGGAAGGAGGGAGCAGGATGTGACAGGTATTAGGAAGAGGAATCCAGAGGGTGGCCGGTATGATATGGTGCTGCCAAGAGCAGCAGCAGAAGACATAAAGGAAAGGAAATAAATCGTATCAACAACTGGGAAACATTAAACAAAGGGACCAACATCTGACACAGAAAGTAGTGAATGCAGGGTTGTCCTTAGTAGGATTTGGACCTTTTGATATTCTGTAATTGGGGATTTGGGGAGATGGGAGCTTTCTGCCAGTTTCCAAGGTATTCAAAACACTGTGTTCTGCTCAGAGACTCATTGTTTGGCTCATTAGGATGTGAATGAAGGTGTAAGCGCTTTTCCTAAAGGAGGGGTAAAAATGTCATCACTCAGTCCCGGTTTTAAAGATCTCTGATTGGCTCTGATGGTGCCGCACATATTTCTGCCTCTCTTTCAGTTTGATATGGGAGCCCAGAGGAGAGGCACTAATGGTGTTTGAGATGTGATGCATTTTCTGTGCTTTGAAGAGGCTGGTCCACTGCAAAACCGCTATCTCTGCATGATTTCTGGAAGGGCTACTGCATTTCCTTGATGGATGGGGAACCAGTTATGAGCTGCCAGCCAGCTGGCTTGGCTGTTCGGAGGAGAGGATGGTATTGATGAAAGCGTTGCCCAGTGCTGAGTCCAGTAGTTTCTCCCTTGCTTTATTCTGCTTTGCTCAAAACCTCCAGTTGAAGGATTTTACTAAACACAGTGTTGCTCAAAGTGAGAGCAATTACGGATGTCTCATCACGATTTCCCCCTTTGGATGGAATTAAAAGCCTTGCTGGTATCAGCAGTTGGCTTGCAGGAGGAAAGTCTGAATCCTGGAGACATGGAGGCCGCCTCTGCCCCCTTCAACAGCCGCCAAGTGCCTCGGCCTCCCTGAGCTTCTCTGCTTTTTAGTTGCCTGGTCAAAAAATTCCTTGGAAATAATGGAAATCTTTTTTGATGAATATATACAAAGGTACTTTTCTCAGCTCTGAATTTGAGAGCAGCAGGGAGTGTCAACCACCTCTTCCCCAGATTGCACAAAGCAGCATTTTTAAATCTGTAGGCTGGAATCTTTCTTTGCAGGTTCCTGTGACCCTGGGCAGGGGGCAGTAGGTGCAGGACACTGGGGATACAGAGCAGTCAGCCTGTACGGGCTTCTAATTACGTTCACCAATGAGATGCCAATGGGAAAGGATTAATTCGCTTGTGAAGAGTCTTAGATTCCCCCACAGGAGCCAGCCAGAGCCAAGGATTTCGGTGTAGTTTATTTGGGCAGTGATACCAGGAAGCATTATTAGAAGAGGGGAAGTGAGGCAGAAAAGAAGGGATTAGAATGTAGGGCCCTTCAGAGAGCAGACTAGTGCTTGGGCAGCTGGGGCCCATTCCCACTAGGGGCTCTAGGAGGGCAGCTCAGAGCTACCCTGTAGAAACCGGGACATGTATCGCTGGTTACCTTTAGTTACATGTTGA